AAATTGTACAATGTATTTGGAGATTCAGAGCATAGTGACTGTAGTCTAAAACTGAGATTGCACTTCTAAAATTGTCCACAAGTAAACAATCTTATGAAGGGATTCTTTATCATGTTTCAAACAAGTGGCTTACAAGCAGACTTTGAGACACTTTTCCACAGAAATAATGCCATGAATTGGTGATTGAGTTTCCAGGCCAAGCCTCCCTCAATAGGTTCAACTCTAATATACCTGACCTGTGATACTGAAGGTGCCTGCCTGAGTTTTGGGTCTGTGAGACAGGGTAGTGTGAGCAGTTCGGAGGAAGGACAGTGCAACTTTCCACCCCTTTTCCTAAGAACAAGGTCTTTCTCCTTTTAATTTTTCCACTCATTTTCACCTCCTAATGCCCTTGAGATCCAGGTGCACTCCTGGGAATTTTGCTCACCTCTGCCAACTGAGAGCCTTCCCATTGGCCTCCATCCTCCCTCCTGAGGTTCTTCATATTCCAGAGTCACCCACCCTTCTCCTCTCATTAGTTCTCTAAGTCTGATGTCATGTGGTGCTGAGAAGAAAGCAGATCACACTTCATCACAGAAACAATGAATGCCTTGTGATTTTCTTCTCCACATCTGAAACTCCTGACACCTGCATTGGGCCGACTGCCATTCCCATGACTGCTGCACCTGCATTTTTAGAGAATGCCTCATAACCCACTGATTCTTGTTCACAGAGAATAGGAGAACGGAATGAAGAAATATTCCAGCAGCTTATGGAAGGATAGCAATATTTTGGGACAGGGACAATCCTATCGTATCTCATCTCTTCCTCAGGAGGAGTTCTGAGCTGGTCTTGCTTTTCGTGGTTGTTTCTTTTCTTCCATTTAAGAACCCATAGATTTTTCTTACAGTCCTGAGGAAGTCCTTACCTCTGAGGTATCTCCTCAACGAATACTGTTTTCAAGGCTGAAATGGTTCATTATGTTAATAACCTTCTTTATGTTCTCAGGGAAATGCTTAGGTGGTGTCACAAAATGTGCCTTTTCGAAGTTTGCAAAATCAGATTTTGTATCCCGATAGAACCAAAATATTTATGAGGATGCTAGTTGTGAACTAGTGATTAGTTCACAACTGAGAAGTATTATTTCTGTAGTAGATACATATTAGTTGTGCATTTTAATTTAATTCTCCTTTTTCCATTTTGTCTCATGAAGTACCTTATTGCAAAAATCCCACTGAGTAATAGCTCATAAATTATAATCTTTCAAATAGCCATGCTACCAGCATACAACAGTGATACATGTAACCCCAAATGTAATGTGATAGGACAATTACTTTGTAAATAAAAGTTGTTATTGACATTTTAACAAAGGCTTTTATGTACGTTATTAAATGAAAAAGTTTATATGTTCCCCTGAGGTATGTTACGTTTGGAAAGGAGATCAGTAAGTTAATTTTCCCAGTGTTTTTGTCTGCATAATCTTAATGTGAATCTGACCAGTGAAACCTGTACTTGCTGTAGTTGAAGAGAAGCAGTCCAGGAATGTTGTGCTGACTGGAAGGAATCCCGGCCCTAATTTCTGTGGCTGCTGCTCCCCGTGGTGGACCTGGAAGGCTGGAAAAGCTGTATTGGAAAAGAGGAAAAAACCTGACACCTTAAGAAAAGCGCTCTACATATTTTGAAGAGTCTTTTTGCACACTAAAGAAAAGAATGCACTAATAGAAAATAGTCTTTAAGGAATAATATATCCTCCTTATGCACAAAGTATTTGGGAAAGATCTGATTTTTACTAGTGGATTTAGGCAGCCAGATTATAAAGAAATCAAGCTAGTTGTTTCTTTGTGTTGCCAAGCCAAGTGTAAAGTTAAACTTTTAATAGAAGTAGAAATAAAACTGTGATAATACCAACATAACTGTAAAATGGCCATAAGAAAAATCAGTTCCCAAGGAAAATTAATAGATGACCATTTTGAAACAGTTATTTGTGGTCAATACTAGGCACATAGGCAAAGTGGTCTTAATCCTAAGATTGCTCATTTGGAGAAGAGCACACTTGGAGACTGCACAGTCTCTCTTCACTTTTGAGTAGATCTGTCAAAATGGAACGATTATAACTGTTTACACACTTCTGAATGAATGAATAGATATTAAGTGTGTGCATTCATTCATTCATTTTTCCCCTCAGAATAATTAAATAATAAAACCATCAGTTCAACTTGAACTGGCTAATCATTTCACTTATCAATTTAAAGCGTAAATGCACCCATGCCTCTGCCGTAACACTTTCACTTCCTCTGTGGTTGCGAAACAAATGGTATCACCACACTCTGTAAAGTTTCATGATTTTTACAGCCTTCTTCTCAAAATTGTATGCTTGTTCATCTGAGAAACCCAGAATTCTCCAGTACTTCGAGCCATCACTGCTGCAGCCTTGCCGTTTGTGGTTCCTTGA